CCCCGGCTCCTCCCCGAAGGTCTCAGTTCCCCCCCCCGCCCCCCCGGTCCCGGCTCCCACCCGCAGGCCTCAGTTTCCCCGGCCCGGCCCTCACTCACCAGGCCCCGAGGGCGGCAGCAGACGCTCGGACAGCGGCGGCGGCGGCGGCAGCAGGGGCGGGGGCGGGGGCAGGGGCAGCAGGACATGGCGGAGCCCCCGGTGGGCCGCGGCCTCGGCTCCTCCGCCCCCAGCCAGGGCCCCCTCCCCCTGCCCTCCCTCCTTCTCCTCCTCCTCCTCCTCCCCCCTCCCTCTTCCTCCTCCTCCTCCGCCCTCGACGCGACGCTCGGGCCGCGGGGAGGGGGGCGGCCTGCGCGGGCGCCCCGGGGCCGGGCCGGCGCGTGCGTGTCTCGGCCGCGGGCTGCTCCGGCTGCGGCTGCGGCTGCGGCTGCGACTTCGGCTGCGGCCCCGGCTCGGGTTCCGGCTCCGGCTCCGGCTCCGGCTCCTCCGCCGCCGCTCCGCCTCACCACCACAACAACATGGCGGCGGCGGCCACACAGAGCGCGCCCACGAGACGCCGGGCGGGGGCGCGCGCCGGCGCCAGCGCGAGCCCAGCCGAGCAGAGCCGAGCCCAGCAGGGCTGGGAGGATGGGCGGGAGAGAGAGGGAGGGAGGCCTGGGGCGGGGCCACGGGCGCCACGGACACGCCCCCTCCGCCTCCCGGCCTGCCGAGAGCCTCCCACCGCACTGAGAGGGAGAGAGCGCGCGCGCGCGCCCGCGGAAGAGGCGGTGCCTGGGCACGACGGACACGCCCTCACCTCGGCCCTCGTCAGGGAGAGCCCCAGAGATGCTGAGACTTTAAGAACCCCCCCCGGAAGGGGGCGGGGCCAAAGCTCTCCGGACACGCCCCCTCCGGGGCTGGCGTCACCGGGCCCGAAGGAAGACACCGAGACAGACTCCGACGAGAGGGAGGAGCGGGCCGGAGCTCCCAGGACCCGCCCCCACCTCAGCTTCTGTCAAAACCCGACAGGACTTTCGGAACGTAGACCACGCCCACCTCCAGAGCTAACCCCCCCCCAAGAAAATGGGCTTGTGCTCCTAGGTCACGCCCTCTCCTGCACCAGCGTAAGAGCCAACAAAAAGAGCTACGAGGCCACGCCCCCGCCAGGACCTGGCTCGGGGAGAGGCGTCTCCTCCGCGGGCGTGTGGGCGGGTTTATTTGGGGGCGGGGTCTTTCTTCGTAGGACACGCCCCCGCCACTCTTCTCGGGGAGGGCCTGGAGAACCCGGAAAGAACCTCTTAGAATAGACGAGAACAGACGGGAATAGCCCCGGGAAGGGCGTGGCTTCAGCGCTTAGGTCATGCTCCCTCAAGGGCCTGGAGAGTACTGAAAGATACTCCTCAAGGGGACAAAGCCCAAAAAGAACTCCCCCATCATAGACAGGGCAAGGCGGAGGCGGGGGTTGAGCTCTAAAGCCACGCCCCCACCTGGGTCAAGGAATGCCTGAGGTGGAAGAAGGAAGGGCTTTTCAGAGGGCCCCGCCTCCAGTCAGTCAGTCAGTCAACAAGCATTTATTTTTTAAGCTTCTACTCTGTGTCACCCACGGTGCTAAGCACTGGGGATACCAAAAGAAAGGCAAAAAAGCAACCCCATCTCTCACTGGAAGCCTTCCCCAAGCCCTCAGTTCTAATGCCTTCCCTCTGTTAATTATTTCCTATTTATCCCGTATATTCCTTGTTCGTACATATGGCACACATGTTTGTCTCCCCCATTCGATTGCCAGCTCCCAGAGGACAAGGACTGTCTTTTGTCTCTTTTTGTATCTCCAGAGCTTAACACAGTGCCTGGCACATAGTAAGTGCCGATTTCCCTTCTCAAGGAGCTCCCAGTCTAATGGGGGAGAGAACCTACAACCAACCTCTGACAGGATAAATTCGAAATGATCAATAGAGGGAAGAGACTGACACGCCTCCCCACGATGCCATCAGTCCAATCGCTGGATTGGACGAGACCAGAAGAGCAGGATGCTGAGGGGGCGGGGCTAAGCCCCTCAAACCACGCCCCAAGAGAGCCTAAGGATCTACAGGCCCCGCCCCCAAGTGGGTCTGGAGCTGACTGAGGGAATCACCCCCAGGAAAGGGGTGAGGTCTATGGAGATTAAGCCACACCCCTACAAGGGTCACTCTTTGAGCACATCCGAATGGGGTGGAGGCCCAGGGACTAGTGTAGAGCTCCAGGCCGAGGGGGAGGAGCCACCCCTCCAAGGGTCGGGGATAGAAGTTTAGGTCACGCCCCCACAAGAGCCTAGCGAGCACTGGGAACCCCCAAAACAGAGGAGAGGAAAGGGGACCAGCCCTTATCTTCAGGGGCGGGGCCTAATTCTCCCTGGATTGCCCAAGTAAGGCTTACAACTAATACAGCATCCCTAGTGGAGGGGGCAGGAGGGGTGGGCAGGACACGCCTCTTAGGGGGCGGAGCCTAAGAGCTTAAGTCTTGCTCCCAGGACAGTTCGACCGAGGGTACCCATATAACAGATGGGAAGAAGGGCAAGGCACACGGGGCTGCACTCCTTTGAACATCAAAGCACTACCACTACCACCACCACAACACACCCCACACACCTCCCTCCCCCTTCCCCGCACCAAGGACCCTCCATTTCCTCCCCCCTTTTCAGTTTCTTTTTGTGTACTCTCTGGCCCCCACTAGATAGTAAGCCCTTTGAGGGCAGGGACTGTCTTCCTCTTGTCTTCCTTTTGAAATGTGTTTTACATGATTGCTCATATATAACCTATATCAAATTGCTTAGAGTTATAGGGAGGGGCAGGGAAGGGACGAAGAAAATTTGGAACTCAAAAAAACTTTCTAAACCAACGTTAAAATTGTCTTTACGTGTAATTGGAAAAAAATAAAATACTATTTATAAAAAGAGAGCGAGAGAAAGAATGGGGAGATAGAGGCAACATGGTTCCTGAGTTCCAATCCAGGTTCTAAGGCTGTAACCCCATCCTTAGCAAAATGCCTGGCGCATAGTAGGCACTTAATAAATGCTTACAGACTGACTAACTCCCCTTAAGAGCCCATCCAAGAATCACCAAGAAAACAGGCCAGGGGAGAGTAGAATCAAGGAGATTAGAAATCCAAGTTGAAGGGAGAAAGCCAGAGGAGGCAAGAAAATGTGAAGGGAGTAGTGGAAATATGAATGTCACCTCCTCCATGAAGCCCTCCTCATTTCTCTGCTACCTCCACCCCCATTGCTATGATTAGGACTGGTAGATCTAAAGTCTGAAGATTTTAGAACTGGAAAAGAATTCCATCTTACAGAGGAGTAAACTGAACCCCAGATGGGAGAGGTGATTTATTCAAGGTCATAGAATATAGAGATCATCTCCTCATCAGACCCTCTCATAGGGCCCAAAGAGTTCGTGTGAATCTTAGGTCACACAGTAGCAGAGCTGATATTCTCCCAAATCTAATTCCAGGATTCTTTCTCAGTCCTAACAATAGGAGCTGTCCAGCTATGGAAAAGGCTGCCTCTGTATCTATGTAGTCTTTGGTAATAGGATGTTTCTAAGTAGAGGCTTGAGGAGAGAGCCCCAGACTTGGAGTCTGGAAGACCAGAATTCAATACTAGCTAGACAAATCACTTCACTTCAGTCTGCCTCAGTTTACTCACCTGTAAAGTGGAGATAATAATAGCACCTACTTCCCAGGGCTGCTGTAAGGATAAAGTGAGATATTTGTAAAGTGCTTTGGAAACATTAAAGCACCATGTGAATGCTAGCTGTTATTACTGTTGTTGTTATTACAACCACTTGGTGGGTTGCGTCAGTCAGGGGTACTGGCTCCTGAATACTTGGGTAGTGCCTTCCAGTCCTGTTTCTATGTTCTTCCCCTAAAGGACCTTCCAGTCTAATTAGGGAGATAAAACTTTGGCCAGAAGGGGGAAAGGGTAGCACCTGAAATGGAATTTCATCCAGCGAAGTCCTGGAATGGAAACTCTCTCTACAGATCATTTGTGGTCTGAAGCAGATCATTTGCAATCGAAAAGAGTTTTCCCCATGGTCATATGTCTAGTATTTATCATTGGGAGACCTTGAACCCCATCTTTCTGACTCAAAGGCCTCCATCATACTGTCCATCATACTATGCTGGCTTTTCACAGAAAAAAAAAGTGAGAAACATTTAGAGAATGGGTAGATACACAACATTACTAATACAAAAATATGTTTTACATGATTGCACACATATAACCAATACCAAATTGCTTACTGTTATGGGGAAAGGGGAAAGGGGAAAGGAGGAAGGGAGGGAGAAAACTTGGAACTCAAAATCGTTATAAAATGAATGTTAAAAATTGTCTTTACATGTAATTGGAAAAAATAAAATACAATTTATAAAAGAGAGAGAGAGCATAGGGAGATAGAAACAACATGGTGCCCAGGTCCAAACGCAGGTTCTAATACATACTACCAGTGTGACTTTGGGCAACCTCTCAGGGCCTCCTTTTTCCTTAACTGTAAAATGAAGAATTTGCACTAGATGGCCTTTGAGGTCCTGAATTCAAATCCTGCCTTAGACACTAACTAGCAATGTGATTCTGAGCAAATTACTTAACTTCTCTGTGCCTCAGTTTCTTCCTCTGTAAAATGTGGATAATAACAGTACCTCTGAGTTAACATATGCAAATGGCTTTACAAATCTTGAAGGGCCATGTAAATGCTAGCTATCATGGTCATATTTGTTATCCTCAAGCATTTAAGGTCATGTGGAAGGAGAATTAACTTTATTTTGCTTGAGCGAAGAGGAAGGAAGCAAGAACAATGAGTGGAAGCAGATTTACTGTCCACGTAAGATTTACCTGGGTGACCTTGGGCAAGTCATTTTCCCTCTTTTTGTTATTGTTCAGTCATTTTTCAGTTGTGTCCCACTCTTCATGACCCTATTTGGGGTTTTCTTGACAGAGATACTAAAGTGGTTTGCCATTTCCTTCTCCAGCTCATTTTACAAATGAGGAAACTGAGGCAGACAGGGTGAAGTGACTTGCCCAGGGTCACACAGCTAGTAAGCGTCTGAGGCCAGATTTGAACTCAGGAAGATGAGTCTTCCTGACTCTAAGACTGGTGCTCTAACCATTGTACCACCAAGCTGCCTTCATTTTCCCTCTGGAGGGCTTTTTTC